CCCGTTAACAATACTGAATGTCAAAGTCACCAATGTATTGTATTGAGAAGCCTTTATTTTTTCTGTCATATCTCTGTTACTATTGCTTATATCTAACTGTAACTTCACATAAGCATTAAATAGACAGCATGCATACACAATATTCAAAGAGGCTTTGTCCATTAAACCCTAGGTCATGAACATGGTCATGGTCACCTGATAGCATGTAAAATGTACAACATGAAGAAATGGAAAAGTGTGACAAAATTTCAAAAACATTGAACCAAAGCAAAATGTTGATGCACACGCAGACATAAGTGATCTCAAAATCTTACAGAGCTAAAAACGCAGCCTATTGCTTAAGTGTAAAGACAAACACCCGTGTTAAGCATGTACCAAATGTATTATTCGTGATACTATGTGTTCGTACCACTAAAATGAGGCCCTCTGTGACAAATCTGCTGAGAATAACGACATATTATATGCCATGAATGATAAAATGAGGAATAGTTTTGTTTTCAAATTCTTTTATTTTCAATCTTTACCCAATAATTTTCACTTATATATGACTTATCAAGTGTTTATTATGCCATCAATCTCTGACTTTAGCTGCACAAACAGATCTATAGCTGCAACGCATTATAAGGCATTCTCAAGCACAGATGGTAGCGAGTCAGATCCTGCCCCTAACATGATACGCGTCTGTAAACACTATATCAAAACTATTTTGATATCTATTTAAATACGAATTGGTCATCTGTTACAACGATAAAACCATTAAGTACTTTATTGAGATTTGGTGGTATATGGTATTTTTTCATATCGGTATATGTAAAAATTGCTTGAAAACCATGCAGTTTTAAAGATGTCCAATTCGTGTTTAAATACTAAAATATTTTAAATAGAGTGTTTACAGGGACACGTATTACGTTGGGATACGGGATCTGACCCCAAGCGTCTGTGTTCTCAAGGACATGTCAGCCATCAGTTGTAGATATTTATCTGCGTAGGCATCACTGCAACTAAATTCATTGACCAACAGTATTCTTGGAAAAACACTGAATTTACAAGAATACTGTTGGTAAAAGTTAACAGATCTGACTCAACTGGTTGTCTGTAGTCAAATTTTTCATATACTTCCGGCACAGTGTATGCAAAAAAGCAAATTAGCAATTGAAAATAAGCAAATATGTAAACCAGCGGTTAACAAATAAGCAAATTAGCAATTCAGCTATTGGCAAATAAGCAAGTTTGTCGTTAAGACTATCAGCCATTGGCAAATAAGCAAATCGGCAATTGGCAAATACGCAATTCAGCAATTGGCAAATAAGCAAATTGGCATGTCCCTACCGGCATTCCATAGAATACATTAAAGAAAAGCCTTTCATTCTTTTAAAGACCTACTTTAACTGACCTGTTCAAGGAAAGGAAGCTTCCTATACACTTTTAAATCATTATTTTATTCAAATTAGACATATTCAGTAAGAAATTTTATAGATTTCAATAAATTTCTGTGATTATTTTTTTTTACTCAAAGATGAGCATAGTACATCTTTAAATATAATTTTTAAAAAGAAAAGAGAGTTAAATGAAAAATATTTGTTTTTCTTAAGCAGAACGTTCATAAAAGTGTTTTACTTGTTACGATTTACGATATCCTGTCATCACCGCATATCATTATCGTATTCGTTAAAAATAATCTTTGTGTGCATTATGTCAAATGCTCGGATCAGCCATTGCTCATGCCATGTTTGACGTGTAAGTTGGATATCGGCCTCGTACATCGATCTTAATGTTTAGGACAAATTTCATGAAACACCACGGGCGCTACGCGCTCTCTGTGTCACAGGAAGTTTATGCCCAGGCCTTTCCATATCATTCCTATATACGGAATATATACCGTGGGTAACGGAGGATAACCGTATACCCGGTCAATACATATTATGTTAATCGGTTAATAAAATCAACCGATACCTCCTTTAAAACTTGAATAAGTCAACAAAAGGTATTGATTGAAATATGCTGGCACAAAAGTTCGATATCTATAAATAGACTGTATGATTTTATATTAAGTTTAACAAAAATGAAAACTGTAAACACCATGTACAATTTATGAGCACTATGGCTGATTCGAAAAGGTAATTTCATTTATTTTAATATTGTATTAGTAACGCTATTAATGATATTTTAATCTGAAATTTACCGATGTTTTATATCTTAAGTTCATTTCCGTGTGTATTTAACCATTCATTTGCTTTTCCTTTGCTCTACTTTTGATTTTGTGCTCGTTTGTGTAATTTGTGTAAATTCTGTAATGGTCAGTGATATGAAAATGCCTTAATCTAAACTTGCAGTTTTTATTTGTTTGGGTCGTCAGACCAAACAAATAATGGTAGCGAAATTTCAGAGTCTAATGTTGTTAATTGCAAATGCCGAAAGTAGTCCACTTTTTTGAAGCGGTTACTTCCCTTTTGTATGTACACTAAAGCCGAAAAATTCAGGGGAGATCACTGCGTAAAGATGGTCAAAGATAGGCGCATCAATTTTCAAGCAAAGTAATTCCCGAATGGTCGAAGATTTCTAATATTGTTTTATTGTATTTTCTGATCGAAAATAACTAAATACGAAGCGGACATTCAATTTCTGACACAGAAGTTTACAACAAACCTAACAACAAGTAGTTCTCAAAACAGCTTAAAACTAGCGATTTAAAAGAAAGAAATATTTTATTTTGTTACAAGTATCCAATAAATTACAACGCATTTAAAGTTAAACAATAGCGTTGGCTTATAGAATTGTCAATAAATGCACAATCACAAATTACGCGGATGAATATGATTTTATCAATGAAAATACTATTTATTACCGAATACTACACAAACCGAGTAGTGGAATATATAGATTCTACATGTCGGACTGTTTGGGCGAGAGGATTTTCGCTAAAATATTTACTTCAATTTTAAACAACAGGTTTACCCTGAACAAAATACCTCGAAATTAATAAGGATGCAATGGAAGTTCTAAATTTAGAATGACTTGATATTATTCAGACCTTCTGTGTATAACTTCACCGTGGTACAATGGTAACGCGCTGGCGTAGTGAGTGAGAGGTCTCGAGTTCGAATCCCAGTCGATGAAACTTTTTTTTTTGTTAAATTCTTTTTTAAGTGTTTTTGTTAAGGAAGTAGCCATGATATGCAAGGATAAAGTGTGGCTGTCGTAAAAAATGAACATAAATGATTTTTTGATGCAACTCTAGTTATGCAGAATTCTGTATGTATCAAACTCTGGTGCCTTGCAAAATGAATTAAATTACATAAAAATAAACCTATACAGGAAAATGCATACAGATATACAGTACGATTTAGATTGCAAAGATCAGAAAATACCACAGAACTTGCAGCCCTTTGATTCTTTATAAATATAAATGCTTATAGTAAGCTCCAGGATTATTTACATCTGTGTTAAACAACAGTTAAAGTCGTTACAAGCCCTAATTTAGAATAATATGGTTTTCTTCAGCCCGTTCACATATAAATTCACCGTGGCTAAAGGGTTTTCGGGCTCGCTTAGAAAGCGAGAGGTCTGGAGTTCAAATCCCAGTAAAGGTAACTCTTTTTTTTTCAAATTGTTAAAGCCAAATAAACATTGGATTGAATATCAGTGTTGCAATTAGTCTTATAGCCAATTTACTACAATTAAAACGCTGGAAAGCATTGGTGGCACTATACATATAATCTCACAACCTGCACCTTTCTTACATTCTGAGACCCAAACAAATTCAGCGCCTTCTGTGCTTTGATTGTTAATATTTAGGCATTTCTTAATTAGTTTCTTTATGCAGAAACTCTCTCATTCTATTCTTAACAATATAACTAATTAAATAGGTCTTCATGTTTGAATATTGTAATGTGAATCTTGTTTGGAACACTGATACGAATTACGTCGTTCCTTACTATTTGGGAATCTGCAGATATATATTAAAGCTGCATGCCTCCAGATGACCCAAAATAGTTCAAGAAAATTAAACTTGGAAAAACCATGATAAAACTTTGTGAAAAGTAAACAAATTAAAGATTCAAGTGATAATTTATATCTTATGTGCAATTAATTTTGTATTTTGTAGTATTTATCACCATATTTCTACTGCGTTACTAACGCATTAGGGGCTATTTATGCATATTTTGACCTCTTTTTGGTAATTTACGTGGATTTTAAGTGCCGATTATAATGTGTCAAGTACTTTCTTTGTTCATTTCAAAATATTTTACCTTTAAATACATTTTCATTTTCATTTATTTACCTTAAATTTTGTGATATACGTCTTTCAATTTGTTAAATGGTATGCTTTTGGATTTATTTATCCAAGGATAAAGAGGCAAAATTCTGTATAAAGTAGCCTGTCTTAGAAAATAGATATTCGAACCTACATTTGCACAACTACAGAAAACTCAGAAGTTTTATTTGGCATAATTATATTGGATCTAAGGGTTTTGCATTGACTGTGAGATTCGATTGTATCAATCTATATAATTATTATCATTTTATAGGTCAACCGAAGGTAACTGGAGGGACACAAGGTCGGCTGCACAAAGTTTATCCTACCTTTGCCTCGCAGAACATCTTTCTGACATCAGTTTTACCTTCAGCGCCATTAAGGATGTGAAACTTCCGGTTCATAAATTTGTACTGAGCCTGCGCAGTGAAGTTTTTGAAGCCATGTTTTATGGTCCACTTGCAGAAGGAGGTGAAACGGTGTTAATTGAAGATGTCGAACCTGACGTAATGAAGACTGTTTTAAGGTAAAAAAAAAACCTGTTGAAATCATAGACGACAGAATATGAACTCGTCTGGTGTTTGGAATTTGGACTGTATTATAATAATATAACATGGATCTGCAAAATGTTTTAAAGCTGCACGCCTCCAGATGAACAAAACTATTTTAAAAAATCTATTAATTTATATTGAGAAAATGCACTAAACGTTTAAGAAAGATAAAATTATTCAAGATCCAAGTTATATTGTCCATGTTATGTGCGGTTTAAGACTGATTTAGCAGATCAGGAAATACAGTGCTGACATTAAATCTCTGGCACAAAATTTCACGACAAACCTAACAACAAGTAGTTCTTAAAACTAGCGATGTAAAAGAAAGAAATATGATTTTGTGACAAGTATCCAACAAATTACAACGCATTCAAAGTTTAAAATTAGCGTTGGCTTATAGAATTGTCAATAAATGCACAATCACAA